AGTTACAGACATAGATGTATACCCTTTTAAGTCTCGACTGTCACCAGTTTTTTAGTCTTCTGGTTGTTAAGTTAATTAAAACAGTGTACAAAAAAGATCCAAAAATAATATATATCTAGTAATGTCCTGCTCTAAACTATAGCTCAGGACATACTCCCTTGTTGGCCCCGTATACTCTCTATACAGTACTGTATACTGACGGGAGTTTAGATAAACTGGAATATTAGAAAAAGCAGCTGATTATGGTGGTCTACAGTCACTGTTATCACGTGGTTGCTGTTTAAAATTGAAAATTTTTTAGGCCAATAATTATAAGATAATTAATATAAAAATTATTTAAGAAATACTTTAAGTCACAGGAAGCCATTTTTTGGGTTTGTTTGATAAAAAAAAAAGTATATTGTACTCATAAATGTACATTGTTAATTATGTCTTCCAACAAAATGATGCATTAATTGATCCATTCTCATTAACTTGGAATGAATCCATTAAAAATACACTGGTAGGGGTGCTGGTATGTGCCACGTTGCCCACCATCAGTGGCTGAGATGGACATCACTGTTGTATTATTATAGAAAGAAAGAAAGTATACTTCCTCTCTGCATTTAACCCATTCACTCAGTGAAGCAGTGGGCAGCAATGTGTAGGGACGGTACCTTGCTCAGGGGTATCTCAGGGTAGCCATTCAGTGGATTCGGACCACCGACCTTCCGATCATGGTGCCACCCCCCTACCTACTGAGCTATCCCTGTTAATAGGGTGTTAACCTTACAGTATACAGTGCCTCGGGGCAGTTGTTGTTGTGATTTGGCACTATATAATTAAAACTGAATTTCATTGAATTGTTCTGCCTAATGGCTCTATATGTATGTGACTAGATAGGTAGAAACGTCGTAGATAAAGGTAAAGGTGTAATTGAAGAGCATTGGAATCCTTAAACAATTTGAACCGCCTGCCCAAAGTAAATAGACGTGAACACACATTGACAGCTGACAGCAGATTGAAAGCCTTCCCTCAATACAGATAAACAGAGCTCTACAGACGCCACCATAGCTAGGATTATGCACTTTAATTGAGAGGGGAAAACAGAACTTAGGTGACTGCAATCTGCAGTCTACTGACATCTAGTGGTGAGATTTTACACACTGTAACGTTCCAATTTTACATACTTCAACTACAAAATCGACCTAATAACAAATCTAAAATAGAATTATATATATTGTCTTGACCTATTAAAAACATAAATAATCATCTGATGACAGCAAAGTTATAAAGTTGGAATATGAACAATAATACTACTTTTAATGAACAAACAGTGTCATATATGAGTAGCCTGAAGAAGAAGACGTGTATTGGCTATGCAATAAAGCATTAAAGCAAAGGAGTACAATAGATTATTGGGTTCAAGAGGTTAATGTCTCTGCATTTACATGACGTCATTATTAGTGTTTTATTATTTATTTATATTAAATCTTTTTAGGATTTTAAGTCATGACCACAACACTAAGCAGTGGGTCCTGAGGTCTCTGCTCTACTGTTTTTCAGTATTCAAATATTAAAGCTGCAGCGAGAAGTACTGTCATCATTGTAATATAGGCCACTAAGGACAGACTTGCTGTTCAATAAGAGCTCACTTCTCAGGATATCTGTGTCTAATTCTAAATGTCTTGTTGTGTTTTCTGGGAGTAGACGATATCTCCAGTGACAAGTGCCTTTGGCAAAACTGTGTAGAATTCAGTTTGTTACAGAAAACTCTGCAATATGATGACTTTCACCCAGCTGCATTGCGTGGGAAAATATCATCAGGATCTGCTTTAAGATGATGCTGTTTTCAGTGTTCATGAGTTAACTTAAGGTCGACTCCACTGTCCTGACACATGTAACCATTTCCAGATGAAGGTGGGCTTTAGCGACATTTTCAAAATCCTGTTACAGTTCCACTAAAAACAGGGTGGTTTTCCTCAACAGATGGCACAAACCACCCACAGAGAGAAGGCGAAAAAAACATTGACGTGTTCTCAGAAACTGGGGTGAGGTTTGAAAGTTGTCTCTTTTTTTTTTAACAGCCACACTGAGATTTCTGTTCAAGTTTAACTTGTAGCAGCTAGTGATATATAGATGTTAAAGATGTATTAAAATGTCACCGTCTTCACATCATTTTGATGGACTTCACGTTTGTCAGAAAAATATGCAGAGCAATGTTAGTGCTTTGTACAACTTACAAGACCAAAAAAAACTTGATTTAAATCGAGATATCGATATCGAGAAATCCCTTACCTTTCTAATATGTGTACAGAGTGTAGAATCTCTTGGCCCTTCCTCGTATCAGAAGAATGAAAATCCTGGTTGTTTTTACATCCACAGTCACAACATATTACACTAACTATTCAGATTTGAAGTCAATAAATTCTCCACTCCTACATTAACATGTTTTGGTTTAAACATTTTCCCATCCAAACGTCCACAGATAACCTCTCACCATGTCAGCATCTGTTTTATGAGAGGAACTATATTCCCTTTTTCAGGCAAATGCTGCCTCGCTTCTATAATGGTGTTGTTTTAGTTTGAAGGGATTTACGATGAAAATGGAGATGCAGAGGAGATATTCATTCATTGGTAGTCATTTAAACAGACAGCCCTACTTGACTCCATTTTAATTTGTTTTCCATGGTAGATATGCTGTACTGTAGCCAGTTTAAATGTCCTCAGATGTGTTTTTACCATATATTATGCATTTCGTTACAGCCAGATTGTAGCTTTTGAATTGCTCTGTATTTGTCGATCTGTAAAGTGAGATCATAAAGTGCAACGGTGCTTCTCTGAATGTTATTCTGTTATGTTTAGTGATTTTCATACAGAGTTTCCAACATAATTCCATGCTGACCACCAAAGCTTTTGGGAGTTTTATTTAAATTTTTTTCAGCACTCTTAGTTTGCTGTTCTTTTCTCCCATCACTTATTTCCTGTGTTGAAGAAGGCATTTCATGTTTGCTTTGGCCCAGCTGATGCTTTGGCCAAGAGCTGACTGGCCTGCTATGGGTGGGAGAGAGCAAGAATTTCATTTTGAGTTCACCCCAACTACCTTAGTCCACCCATGGCCACTATTTCTTCTTCCACCTCTCCGTTCTCTCTCTTTTCATCACTTTCTTATACCCTTCTCCACCTGTTTCTCCATTTTCCACTGCATTTCTGTATTTTCACTGTTCTGCAACTGATTTATGGTGATCTATTTCTGCAAAATCCATGGGGATGATCCTATTTTTTTCTTATATACTTCCTTTATTTTTGTTTAGATCATTTCACTACAGGAACATATGTGAAATGGTGCAGTGAAATCGACCAGTATTGGTCTTCTTCGTTGAGGGTTATATTTAACAGTTTTTTATGCTGAGTGGAGTATGCTGAGGTTACACCAAGTGGAATGCATCAGCTGCATCTGTGAATTTACATTAACGCCTGGTGAAAGTTATAATCTGATTTAGGGTTTTGAAGGTGGCTCTTTCGTGTCACAATTTCTTTCCCTACCGTTATGTTGGTAAATGTGGTTGTACTGGACTTAAGCTTGTGCTGTGAGATCTAAAGCTTAGCTGACTGTACGGTAGCGCAACTTCTGGGCCACCTGTTTGCACAGCGACAGACTTTTACTGCCGGTTTGACTCAATTTATGGATTGCTGATGTTAACTGTTCTATTTTTACTGTGACCAAGTATCCTGTAATTTATTGCCACCAGTGTGATGAAGAAACTTCATACTGTCGAGAGGAAATTTGCCATCAATTCAGAGGCTGTCATTCCAAAACGATGCCTTCTGGAAAGTAACGATGATCATGCTAATTAGCCTTTCTTATGTTATAGTTAAGTAAATGACTTCATTGTGTTTATTTAGCAGATTTTTTGATCTATATGATCTGTGTTTATTCTACATAATCTCTGTTATTCCTATTTTTTTCATTAAAAATGTTTTATGATCAGCACACTTCACTGCTGTTTCACTAAGTAAAGATTATTACTATATCTCATTACCTCCTTATTACTTTTCTCTCTGTCCCACAGAGTCTAGGATGCGATGAGTATCTCGGATCAGGAAGGGTGGTGGACAAGTGTGGCGTGTGTGGAGGTGACAACACAACCTGTACCCTGGTTTCAGGAGTGTTCAAACATAGTTTATCCAAAATCGGCTATCACAAGATAGTGGAGATCCCAGAAGGAGCCACCAAGATCAATGTTACTGAGATGGTGAAGAGCAGAAACTACCTAGGTGGGTGGTAAACATACTCACAGGATACTGTGCTGTGGCTGTACTGATGAAGAATAGCCAGTTAGTGCAGTTGAGTCTTCTTGCTCATGGCTGGTTTCCTTAATTTTATTCTAGCTGCTGTATTGCAGCTGGGTGAATGTATAAGTTGAGTTTAGCATTTTAGCCAACAGAACTGCTTTAGCATTTCACTGTTTTCATTATGAACACTAACAAGTAATTTAAGGCACCTAAATTAAAATTACACCCTTTTCCCCCACATTGTTGATACTCTTAATTAGTTCAGCATTTGTTCAGGCAGTCAAGATCAGTCATAGTCTTCAGTGGATCTCAGCCATGCTCTATATCAACTAATACACTCTGTGTTTTAAGCTGCATTAGCCTGACCACAGTTGTGCCTGAAGTCGCGTTGTAACTCCCCTGCACTCCATCTTCCTTTCATGTTCTTTCAGTGCCATACCTGTTGTCACTGAAGCCTGATGTTCTGTACAGTCTTACAGCTGGTATCTCCTCCTCTGGCTTTGTGGAATCGTGGAGACGTGTGCTCTCCTCATAGAGCCAAAGAGAGTTAAATTACTGTAGAAGGAAATAACAATGTTCTTTTGACTACAGTGGCCCTGAATGACCTGTAATCTTCCTCCACAGTGCCTATGTGTCTTTACAGAGAGTAAAGACACATAGTCAGTCTTTACTCTCTGCCATGCTGTGCTGGGCATATTCTTTATTTAAACGCAGATGCCAAATATAAAAATATTTCCGTTCACATCACATTATATTTCATTGCATATGTGACAGCTAAATGAATTATGTTTGGGAAAAAAATAACAGAGATCATTTCTTAGCAGCACATCAGTCATGCTATAATAATATTTTGACATCTGCTAGTTTGCTTGAGAAAAGAGGTTTTAGGTATTAGTTGCTAAAACTGTGTGAACAGTATAGAAATGCTTGAATGTTGGCCATATACTTTAAATAAGAGGCCTCTAAGAGTGCTTGTCGTTGGTAACTGCTAATTTAGCTGTCTCGCAGCAAATAGAGCGTTTTAGTTTCCATCCTGGTTTACAGTTTCATTAGTCACAGTTTGCTGCAGAGTTCTGCTTTCAGCAGCTCAGAACATACGTCAGAAAACCTCCATCTGCCATGTGTAGTGTTACATGTGTGGCACCAGTGAAAAGAAAGTCATGAAAAGAAATCATTAAATGATGAATGTGAGAAATGTTTGTTACATTAGCACTAAATAAGCCTGAGCGGGTAGGAGCTGTTTGTTACATTTGTTTTATTAAACAGCATTTTGCTTTTTAGGATTTCTTTGGCCTTATGCCTATATCGCCACCCACTGCTGTCTTAACATTGTTTAATGGAACCTTTTATACACTTTATAGATATTTGGACTTTTTACTGAGGTGCAACAGTGGGACAGTAGAGGCTTATTTATTCAGAAATGACTGTTGGAATGTCAGACATTGTTTAATGAGAACCTTGCCCTGACTCAGCATTGGGTTTAGAGGAAGAGGAGAGCAGTCCTAGTCCTCCCCACCACCCCCCATCCACCCACCCGCAACTGCTTTCCCTGAGGAAAGTGCATAAACATGCTTTCATCAGAGGATCTTACCCTTCAGGACTCACAATCGTTTTTAATTAAAGTGCGGAATTTCACCACTCAATAAAAAAAATAAAAAACTGGAAACATTAAGACGACGAATTCAGTGGCTGTCTTTCAAACCCCAGCTACTTAGATGCCAAGTATGCTCAGCTTTGTTTAATTTGAACTGACCATTTATATACACGAGTACACAGAGTTATGTACAGACAAAAAATACTAGTATTTATATGAAAAACTTTGCTGCACCTTATACAGCATTTACAAACTCTTCATTCTTCATTCACACATAGCAAGAAAAAATGTGTGTGTTCTAAGTGGATATGTTTTCAGTTTGAAAATCTGTGGCACATTTATAAATATAAAATAAAGAGGAATGATCTGAAGGTGTTATGCATTGAATTGATAAAAAGATTAAAAAGTTCCAGGGAGCAACATATGTTTTAAAATGCAAACGAGACTAGAATCAGGCAGGAGCCATCAACTATATCCTCATCACGTCCCTGATTTTCCCTTCAATAGGCCTTTGTTCTACGCTCTGCATCTCTAATAGTGCTTTTAGTTGTCCAAACACTCTTTTACAAGCCTGTCTAATGTTACACTTCTAATGTCTTTCTAATGGCCCTTTTGTATTTAATCCATGAAATCAGTGGAAAAAACCTCTTGGGAGATTTTGTTACAGGATTTGCATGAAAGATTTGCCAGCACAAACAGATTGTCACATTTGAAAAAGACATTGCTCTGAAAGTGCATGTGAGAGCTTTTATTCAGTTAGCTACTGTAATTACCTTTTTGGGTTTGAGCCACTTTTAAAAAGAATACAGATCCCATTATGCCAAATAGTTTTATATTAAACAATAATTATATAGAAGAACTTTTTGGTTACATGTTTTTCTCATGTCTTTGTCAGTCTTGATTGTCAGTCTCTCTGTGTCTACCAGCTTTGCGAAGCCGATCAGGGCGATCAATCATTAACGGAAACTGGGCAATTGACCGGCCAGGAAAGTATGAGGGTGCAGGGACCATGTTCACCTACCGCCGACCCAATGAAATCAGTAGCACAGCTGGGGAATCCTTTCTCGCTGAAGGCCCCACAAATGAGATTCTGGATGTTTATGTGAGTAAAAAAAATCAGCTTGAACCCCAAGAAAGTTACGGTGGTGGGTCTCCTTGTTTTTTTATTTATCTTTATTTTTTTGCTGACCTGAGAAACGGTGTAAAATTTTGAAAGTGCAAATGTTGAAAGGCTTACAGTTCTGTTTTGAAATTGTTGTCTAAGTCTCATCTACTGTCACTCAGATGATCTTCCAGCAGCCAAATCCTGGTGTTCACTATGAGTACATTCTCCCATCTGAGAAGCTCGTGAGCCCTCAGCAACCAAGCCGCAGGCCAGGAGGTAAATAAGACCCACTTTTGGCCCCTCCTACTGTGTACAAACGACCAAGCAAACAACCAGTGGAGAAAATAACTGTTAGATAAATTAATAAGTGGGTGTTCGTTGCAGGCCTATATATAGCTAGCTATATCTATCCATAGAGTATATAAAATTGATGACACTTCACATCTTAGGGAATGCTGTGAATGGACAGGATGGATACGACCAGCAGAATCATCAGGAAAACTTTAATTCAGCTGGCAGTGGAAGATATTCGCCTCCTCCCACTGAAAACCAGGTACCCTCCGTACAGCCACCCAGACGTGAGAGAGAATACAACTGGAAACTGACTGGAGCTACAGAGTGCAGTGCTTCCTGTGGTAAAGGTCAGTTAAAGAAGTTTATGTTGAGCTTTTTTTTTTCTTTTTAGTTGAGAGAGAGTAATAAAATAACAAAACAGTGAAAAAATTTTGCTTGAGATTTTACAGTTTTTTTGATGTATATATATATCTGTTTGTGATGCAAGTCTGCATTTATATGGCATTAAAATTATGTTACATCCAGTTATCAATTATGTAAAAATTATGTGTCTCCACGTGCATGTTAAACTATACCTAAACTCAAAACTCAAAAGTTGCATTGCTAAAACATTAATCATTTGGTCTTTATGACATTGAGTAAAATATGACTTTACTGAACTTTTAATTGCACAAAAGATTTTCCCATACGGTATATAACACAATCAAAATTTGTTTCAGGAGTTAGTGCCTAAATTTCCACTTTTTAGGTTTCAGATATTCCATCTTTCACTGTGTCAACCGGCTGACTCAGGTCCAGGTATCGGACTCTTTGTGTGACAGCAGCAGCCGACCAAGTCCACAGGAAGAGGCCTGCAACCTGCAGCCCTGCCCAGCATTGTGAGAAATTTCTCCTCTGTTGCTAGAGTGCAAATTGCAGATGTCTAAATTTAAAAAGTGTTTTTTTATTCTACATGCAAGTTGACTTAATAGTATGCATGTACGCAATGAAGCCTTAATAGCTTTATAAGCTGTAAATATCACCCCAAGGTTCAATCCATTAAGCAAATTTTCTATCCAGGCATTTCAGATCACACTGAGAGATGACGAGGAAGAATGTATTTTAAATTTTACCATCCATGTGGAAATATTCATACAATTTTTTTTAAACGGTTGTTTTAAAATATAGAAATTGCTGATTTGCAGGTGAACCAAGTTTTTTACATCCTCTTAATTTTGTACAGTTTCGGTCCCTAAAGGAACAAATCACAGAAAATACAACAAATGAATGTCGCATTTTGGACACTAATGCTTTTCATTTTATTTAATAGCTGGGATATTGGAGAATGGTCAGAGTGCAGCAAAACCTGCGGTCTGGGCATGCAGCATCGGCAGGTCTTGTGTCGCCAGGTTTACGCCAACCGCACCCTCAATGTCCACACAAGCCGCTGTCGACACCTGGAGCGGCCTGAAACTGCCAGTACCTGCCAGCTAAAGATCTGCAGTGAGTGGCAGATTCGCTCAGAGTGGACTTCTGTGAGTGGCAGCAGTCAGACTTAATTTAACGTACAAGACTTTTCTGAACTGACCCTGAAGTTATGAAAGTTATCTTGATCTGTACTCCTGTTCTCTACTCTTATATCTTATATCTAAATTGAGCAAATAAGCACACTCATGAAAAGAAAATGGTACAGTCTCCTTAGCTATACATACCTCCATAGTACAACACTATCCATGTAGTATGTATCTTCATAGTGCTCTGTGCCATGTGGGCTGGGTCAGAGGTCACGAGAGGTACACTGTGTCAGCAATGTGGGCGACTTTGTTCCTGATGAGGAGTGCAACATGAATCTGCGGCCCAATGATGCGGAGAACTGTGATATGGGAGCTTGTGCCAAGAGCTGGTTCTACACTGAGTGGGGCAACAGGGTAAGTGTCAGCAGGAGACACAGTAACTTTCATTCAGTTCTAACAACAGAGCGAGTCTTTGTATACAGAAGGTCTGTCTTCATCACTCAAGTAGCTATTCTTGATGGCCAGCTGATATAGATACCTTTTGATGATTTTGGCAGGGAAACATAAGAGTAAGGTCAGATAGAAACTTTCATGCCTATGAGGACAACTATGAGAAAATAAAATCAATAAAGACAGTGGTTGCCACGCGATCATAGGCTGTGCTTTAGGCTGTTCCTGCTTTCAGGTTACATTGCATGACTTTTGTAAGCAGCAGAACAGATTAGCCATGAACAAATATTAAGTTCTTGCAGGGAAAGGAAGACCTCAGTGGATGACATGAGAATCCAACAGAACCGGGCACGTGTTTTTTGTTTTACGGTGATGATACCATTTAACTTTACGGCAATACAATAAGACTAAAAGAGAAAAGTGAATAACTTTAATTTTGCAACATTGCCTAGATTCCTCTAGATTTGAAACATACGAACTACAAAGCCAGCTAAGATATGAAGTTTCAAAGTGGGCACAGTTAGGTTCTCCATTTCCTCCTCACAAACTCATACCACCTTTGCACACATTTGACTTGTGTGGTTTCTCTTTAATGTATTTTTCACCCTATGTTTCTACTTTGTGCAAATATTTGACCTAAACTCTAACACTTTTTGCTCAACAGTGCTCAGCTGAATGTGGCATGGGTGTACGAACACGGGGAGTTCTCTGCCTGACCAACCAAATCAGCAGTCTCCCTCTGGAAGGATGTGGCAGCGAACGGCCCGCAGACTCTCAAGTCTGCAACAACGGTCCCTGTGAGAATCGAATTGAGTGGTTCACAGGACCCTGGAGCCAGGTATGAGCGCAACTGGAGGTTACATTGTACGTACGAGGGAAGTTGTCAAATATGTAGGACTTTACATTAATATGTCACATGGGTTTTTCTTTCTTGATTTTGTGTTTAACTGAACATAGTGCTCTGCAGAGTGTGGCACCGGCACCCAGCAGAGGTCAGTGGTGTGTTTGATGAAGTCAAATGAAGGATTCACTGTCATGCCACCGTATGAGTGCTCATCCCTGGACAAACCTCTCAGGCAGCAGAGCTGTAGCCTCAAGGCCTGTGGAGCAAAGTGGTACCACACTGACTGGAGTGCTGTGAGTAAGACATAAAACCCTCTATCACAGTTTAGATGCTTAGAATCCTCACAGTGCTTAAAACGACTGATATTTTGGATAGTTCTTGCTGAAGAAATCACTTTAAATCTATTGTAGATGGTTGCTTGAGTTGTACATAAAAGTGGTGTAGGCACTGTGATGTCACTCATTGGTTTGTGGGCACTTTGTTTTGAAGCCTTAGGTACTTTTTGAACCGCATATCACAACTGGTAGATCTGTCTCTGTGGAGACTTCATAGCCAATAGCAGCGACTTGCCAATCACACATAGCCCTGCTCTAAAGCCAATCCTGTTTTTGTCATTTATTTTACTCTAAATAGTAATGAACGTCAAGCCTTATTAAAATTTCTTGAAACTTGTCCGTGAGATTGCAAACTCATCAGGATAAATTATTTTCTCTTGGCTTTTATACTATCTGTCTTTTTAAAGCAGAGGAGTCGCTCCCTGCTGTTCATTAAAAAGATTGCAGGTTATAGCCCCTTTCCCATTCCGAGAGCTAACTATCTGTGAGAGCTAGCTGATGAGTCTCCTGATTAATAGGTAATAAGTAGGTTATAAATATTTAAATACTTATAAATAAGTAGGTTATAAATCTTTATTTGCTATGTACCATTTTTGTTACCATTTAATATGTAACAGTTGTATTTAAACCCTCTAAAATGTGTCCTGGTGTTTTTGACATTAAATAAATGTAAAGTTTACTTAATACTAATTAAAGTACATCAATAGCACAATTTCCCTTGAACCTTTCTTTTCAGGATTTTGACTGGTCAGATTTAACTGACAGTACCCAAGCA